CGTCATTATAGGTATCTATATTGAAAATAATACTTAATGTGTACCTCATAACATCGTTACTTATAAAATAGATATTTGCAAAATGATGCAAAAGTTGTTTAGTGACACATTTCTCATGAAATACGCTTATATTGGTTTTAAAGGAAAACATCAATTTTCAACATTACAAAGTTGCAGTATTTCATTAGGTAAGTGAAAACAAATATTATAAATAAATTATATATAACAATTTTTGTAGAAGCTATTATAAGAAAAATTTATGAAAAAAAAAATCTATACTCTATTCACAAATATAATGCAACTTGTTTAAGCCCAACGCTGGAATAGCAGTGGGTATGAGCAAGAATTGTTCTCTAGTTTTGGTCTCTGCCCAGTTGCAGTCTAATCTTGAACAGAGTATAGAACTACAGTTGTAACTTAGCATTACTAAGGTTAACCAAATAGTGACTCAACATTATATATTTAATTAATACTATTTGGAGGAATTTTAATTGTTTTTATCTTTAAATATTGTTTCCATATAGTTACCATACTAAACTGTAGGGTTTAGTAATTTACATCATTGGATCATATACCTACGTATACTTGGTCAATTTAAATTGTATAATTGAATATACTGTAAGTTGTTAATAGGGATTTACACAACTTGCTTGAATTAGTAACTTTTTGTCCAATAATTTTTTGGCTAATTTCATACATGGCTACCAATGTTTTGCACCCAGATTTAACAAATTACTTATTAGTTCTATAACACCTACTTTAACCACATTATTTAATTTTTTATACATCTTGTCTTTATATTTCCTATTGATACGTTATGTTTCAAATTTATATAAGTATCTAAAATAATAAAATAAATGTATACAAGTCACTTTTCCAACTAAAAATCACTTTATTTATATATTAAAACACTTAGGATCACTTTTGAACATTTGTTTACATTATATAATGCATATATGATACATGAAAATTGAAAAACAATATTTTTATGGTGTTAACAAAATTGCCCTTTAACAATTTTTGATTCTGAATGAAGCAAAGAAACTAGAGTATTTCCAATGATTGTTATTATTTTTTTTTTTTTATTAACATTTGGGAGTAGAAATATAGTTCCAACATTATTATCTAGCATTTTTATGGATTTGAAATAGCATGACAATTTTACTTTAGAAAGGTCATTTCCGAAACTCTCATTAGTGCTTCCACAATTTGAATAGAAAGAGTTAAAATAAAATAAAATTACATGAACTCATTTATTTTATTTATTTTTTACCAATATAAGGTTGATATTTTAACACTGTGAAATATGTTTATGTATTTTAATGTCTATATGTAAACATCTTAAATAAAATAGGTAGGTATTTATCTTTTATATTAAGGTATAAAAACACTAAAATTAATTTATAAACTTATTTTTCCAAAATAGAATAAATTATTTTAAGTTTATATGAAATAAGTAGAGGACCAACATTTGGTGGTATACCATTGGTATACCAATAGTCCTCTAATCGCTTATCGAACTTACTTATAAAGTTTTAAGTTACAATTATTATAAGCTGTACCAAACATATCATTAGAAATTAGATTTTTGTAAGATATTAATAATACTCCTAAAAATATTTTGCATGTGAATATAGAATAAAATATGAATGTTATCATTCAAAAAAGTAAGACATTTAAAAAAATAACGGCGAAAAGATATACAAAATTGTGTTCTTTTCAAAATTTTTGTTTTTTTATATCATCGAATAATTTGAGTTTGGAAAAACTAGAAGGTGATAGAATTGTTATGTTTCAAGTTATCAATGCCGAATAATTTTTTTTATATATATTTTAAATCAGTCAATGGGTGTGAGGGGGGGGGTTGAAGCACTTTTAGTCTCTCCCCTCCTAGGTATGCCAATGGTTTATACTTTATAGCCAGAGTGGTTTTCAGCCATGTGAAACTTGGTTTTCAACAAACAATTTATAAACAGATAAGGGTCATCCTCTTAACCAAGAAAAAAATGTATAAATTTTATTATTATTATATAGTTTGATACTATCAAGGACCAAGTAATATTCATATATACAAACCCTGAGAGATAGTTTTGTGTGCAAGTACAACGGAAACCCTTTGACCTTGACGCTGGTCATGTGGCGGTTGGCTGGCGGAAAAAATCCCAATATGCCGACCCCGTATTCCCTACAATACTTGTCCAACAGCTCTCTGTTCCATTTGTCCATGTTCAGGTACCGGTGGTAATTCTCGAACACGATGACGGAATATCGGCCTTTGTCCAAATTCGTCAGCGCCGGTAACGATTTGCCGGCCACTTCCATTTTATATCTGCAGCAGTGATATAAAACATATTATAATACATGTGTGAACGTAATACGATGCACGTAGGTATATTATATTATATTATTATATAAATTATATATGATATGCCAACTCAAATTAAAAAAAAATCGTAAAAGGGCCGCCGCCGCGTATTATACTCCTTCTGCACTTTGTCGGCGTGATACCGACCGGCCATTCCCGAGCAACCATTGTACATATTATATTATAGGTACTTACATGGCCCATTATGTCGTACATAATGTATCTATATATGATATATTATTATATAGGTATACGATGGATGGTATGAAATTAACGAGTGTGTAATGTGTACAATAATAATAGGCAATATATATATATATATATATATCGAATAAGAAGAATGGGCACTATATATGTGTATATTATTATGTTTACGAGCGAGTCAAGTTTCACCGCCCGCACGTGTGAGCGAGAGAAAAAAACCATAGGCAGGTGAGAGATGTGTGCGTGTGGTGACGAGAGATTGATAGAGAGAGAGAGAGAGAGAGATAGAGAGAGAGAAGCGGATTGCAGAGACGACGACTCATACCGTCCATATACCGCCGGGCGCCAAACGCATTAAATATTATTATATTATAGCGTAGTTACACGTCCTGCGCAGCTCTCCTCGATAGAAATTGTTGTTGCTGTTGTTATTATTATATTTTTTTTTCGCCCCTGTCTCAAAATAAATCTCCGATTCATTATGGTGCGATAATTTTGGCACACACGTTCGACAAAACGCCAGTACTGCCGCCGACAGGGAAAGGACAGCATATTATAGCATATACGAAGGGTCTTATATTTCACACATGCCGTCACGTTTTTATAAATCACTTACATGCCCTTAATGGACAGTTGTAAATCCCACCAATATTTAGGTTTCCTGCCGAAACGCCACAGATCATATGAGATTCGAAAAAAAAACCATCACGTAAACCCTAAAGGTGGTACCGGCTTTTTATTGTTATTGAATTGTATACATAATTTGTATTCGTTTTCACTTTATAAATGTATAACTTTATAACTTTATTTATAAATATTTTAAATTATATATCTTGTAGGGAACATAAGAATTTGATGAAATATTTAAATCAGATTGCTCCACGATTCACTGGTATAAGAAAAATTGCTTGTAAAAAATATAAGTATCCAATATCATAATGATTCAAAAAAAAAACTATAAGATCTAAACATCAGAAATAAAATTTAAATAACCATATTTTATACTTATTAATTATTATACTTAATATTTTTGTGACACGACAAAGAGTCAACCTCCATCCCTTATAATATATAATAACTGTACACTGTAATAGGCACCATCATAATTGCCACTCTCGTTCAGTCTCGTATCAAAACTTAACGTCAGTGGAGCGGCGGTTTTCACAACTCTCGACCATAGATATATACAATGATGTTGAATATATCCATGCTCTCGATGAGAACTGCACGCAAATCGTTAATGTCAAACAAATACGTCGGCGACAGAGTCGGATTTTTTATTAAAGTCGCTGTACAGCAGCACACGCCATAATATTATGTACCCACACACGGCGACCGCGGCAAAGTGAACAGTTTTTAGTTATCGTTTCGTCTAAGATTATAAACATTATACTTCCGACGAAAATCTAATACGATGCGACGTGATACGATATCCCACTCGCGTTATTTTCCGCGGACCAGATTTAATGAAATAAGTTTTCACAATATACCATATACGACATTACATGACGTATATATCATATATATATAATATATATATATATGTGTAGCCGACGACAGTCGAAAGTGCCAAGGTTACTCTTGGCGACGTGTATCTAGGCGAAAAAGAAAAATGTCAATATATAATATTGTGTACCTACGTCATATTAATAAAATATAAACAATACATATATAGGGTTTATATAAAATGTGAACGAGTAGTTACTAAGTTAGTAAAATGTTAATAATGTGGATAATAGAGACATAAAGTTATTAAAAATAAACAATAGTTGCGGAAAAATTATTCAGGTCAATATTATAACATCACAGTTGCTTACAGAGTTTTTTTAATAAAATCCATGGGAGTTGTGGACACAAATATTTCAAAAATTTTCACTTCGTTAGGTGACAAAAACGGCCGACCGAAAAATGTTTTTAAAAAGTTTCTCTTTTCATACTCAGAACTATATACTTCAGCTAGACCTTATGACTGTATTTTTCTGTACCAATAGCTTGTCCGAGATCCGACGTCCTTTTATTTTGCTCATCGGTCATACTATATGAACAGCTGAGTGGATATAAATTGTTTAAAATTTATATGAAAAGTGGTTATTATAGTATGGGTAAACGTTGTTTCAAAAACTCTAGTGCTGTTCAATAATCAGTCATTGATTTACCCACCAACCAACAGAAAAAATAATGTTACGTAAACTGATAAAACATATTTTTTGACAGCCGCCTCAAAAGCACCGGCACAATCTTAATGCTTATAAATAATCAGTCCAACTATATGTCAATCACCATTTACACATCGTCTATGTCAATCACCATTTACACATCGTCAATATCAAACAGTAATTCCCCAACGTCAATAATCGTTGTATCAAAAATAATAATTGGATATTTGTCAGCAATTCATATGTTACCTTTTTAGGTTTCGTCCGCAACTCGCATGGTTTTTGTCACTTATTAGTCCGCAATTAGGCAACACCGATTAAAATGTTGAAATCATCTCAGCAATCACATTTTACAAACAATCCAAACCCATTATCATGCACATATTATCCTTAGCACACTAAATTCAATAATTCAACAACTACTCGTTAAAATTTAACAATTCTGATTTTCAGAAATATTTTCCTTTAGATAATTTTATTTAATGTAGAAAACTGGGTTTCTCATTCAAAAAATAGAAGTTTTTATCCAAACAAGGCACTATCCATAAACAGAACAAATGATCTTAAGAATTTGAAAATATTAAAAAAATAGTCTAAAAATTCAAAAAATCAAATTGATTCTGACTGGAGCTATGAATAATATATATTGATTTTACAACGATAATATGTGTTATTTTATTTTTTCATTTTTTTTGTGTGTGTCTGTCTTCAACACCTTTTGGGGCAGTAAAATGAAACTGTAGTTGATTCGTTAAGTAGAGATTTTCTTCAACAGCATCTTTACTGGTAGGAAAGTGAATCTAGTTGGTACTTTGGGGGTCAAAACTAAAAAATTCCCAATTGTTTTCAAAAACGGCAGGAAAAACGGGAATTTTCACAGAAAACCGGTTTTTGAAAAAATCGATTTTGGTTTTTTTATGTAACTCTAAAAAATATACCATGGATACATGAAATTTTCACCGAATGTACATATCTGCATTTTCTATACACCATACAATTTTAAAAATATTTTGACTCTTGTTGAACTATTTATAGGCACATGCAATTTTCGATTATTAGTTTTTTTTAAACTAAAGTCAATAAAAAATTGTTGCTTGGTCAAAAAACTTGTTCATAATATATAATATATAATACTATATTATAGTAGGTTGTTGTTACTGGAATGAATGACTGTAGACTTGACACAACATATTTTTTATGATTAAAATCACAGTTTTATGAGCTTTAAATTTAATAAAATCTACTTCGCAAATCTCGATCATCGGCAAGGCAACCGGCTAAAGGCGATCACTCTCCGAGAACGAAATTCACCCGGATCAATGTACATTTCTGTACGGCACTTAATTTGTTATATTACGATTGTATGAATATTATTATTATCTATAATATATAAAACTAATGAGTGCTTGATAATCATTGTACTTGGTCATAATAATATAATAATATAATAATTAAGATTCTATTGTTGTAGCAGTCGTGTATACACAAATGATAACGTGACGACTTGAAAATGTTATACGTACCTACTTTATAATTGCATACAATTACAATTTTAATGACTAAGTATATACCGTATACAAATTTTTTAGTTACGAATGAACATGCAACTATACGGTTCAAAAAATACTGAAATCGTTATTAAACATTTACAAAAACAAACAAATAAAAGCCGAATATAGTATTATGGATTTTTTTTTATCCAATATCATTGTTAGCCATATAATACTATTTTATAATAAAAACCGAAACCTAATTTATGTCATAGGTAATAATTAACATATTATTATGTAGAAAAAAACTTGTAAGCGAGTATAATCAGCCTATAGTTTTATTTCACTTAATGCTTGGCATGACCCACTGTGTCTGCATGTGAATAGTATAATATGGGTATATATACAATATCTTTTCATTGTATATATGATTTCGAAATTGCTTCCGTTGTTCGTCATTTCGTAGCGCTCGTAAACACTGGCTTTGAACAATAGTTCTGGACAAAACATTTTGTATTTTTTTTTTTTTTTTGAACTGTTATCATCTATACTATTGTAGCATAAACGACAAAAAAAAATGATGCATGCATGGAGTTCCAGAGAGGGAACAATGTTAGCGATTAAAATTGATCCAAAATGAATGTCGATTGTATAATATATATATATAATGCCAATAGGTATAATTAATTAGATCCATTCAAACGTGTATATTCAGGCACGAATAATCTGTATCTCGGACAATAGTAACATATATGTTACCAGATAGGTAGAGAAAAACAATTACATTGTAGATTCTACCCCGATGGTGCCACCTACATAAAGATTTGGCAGAACAATCGGATTAAACCCGTGGGACTTATAATATTGTTGTATAAAAAGTGACACACGCCCATTTCATTGAAATGCGATTATACGAACGGCCAATAATATTTATATTAAAAACCTGACCCCGTGCACTTCGTTGTCTGTTAAAAATGCCAACTTCATAATATGAACCAAACTTTGTAGAATTCGATACTTAATATTCAGTATAATGGTGTTCAAAACTCAAAAAATTTCATCAGCCATCTTCAATCTCAAAATACTTGTGTACCACTTAAAAATGCTTTCTTAGTGCACACTTGCCGTGAAAATTTCATATCTCAAGGTATCATAGTTTAGGCTTAACGTTGAACAGTCAGTGGTTCAGCCAAGACACGTTCGATTGCATTATATTATATAGTCACCCCACCCGTAGTTGCCCACAAGACTTGCTTGCGAAGAGTATACATTATCAGGCAATCCACAGTGAAGGCCTGGTGAAATCGGCGAGACGGCGATCGCCGACTGGGCCAGCTTCAAATAAATTGAAAAAAAATATGTCCGAGACTCCATGTTTTCCTAACTGTACCTGAACGGAGTAGACCTTTTTTATTTAGCTGACCAAGTAATGTACATTCGTACACTTCGTGGAACTCGGTGCACCCCATGTTAAATCTGGTATGCATTTTAAAAATTTTACTATTTAGACCGTGTATGGACGGACTTAGAACGCAGTGCAGCACCGCTGTTTTATATAGATTTTAAACCGTGTATGAACCGAAGTTGTTACTCGGGGTGTGGTAGGGCCGCCACTGGCAATCCACCCACCATAGCGGATTGTGGACCCCGCGAGGTAAGTATACTTAAGTGTATAATTTTCAACCTATAGTTTTAAAGTTAAAACAAGTTTGTCATTTTTACTTGAACCAACTTATTGGATTGGATACAATGTGCCATCCGATGGTTTTTGATAAAGCTATATAACCGGAAAAAATGATTAGAAGGATAGTTAAGTGTTTGTATTTGTGGTCACACTAATTTGGAAGAAAACAATAGATTAATTTTTACTGCCATCTATTATAGTAACAGATTACAACTCTGTGTTAAATCCAACGGTGTCCGCTATTCAGAGGCTTCAAGTTCAATCGAATAATTTGGTTAAAGACATATGTACAACACATTTCAGTAAGCCTACTTAAATCAGGAGGTCTGCAAACCAATCCCGCCACTAACACAAAAGTTAAAACCATTTACTCGAACTAGAAAAAGAAAAAACTGGATATTCGAGTCTTATTATTGTTCTATATACGCGACCGCCACCACGTCCAACGTCATAATAGATAAAACACACAGCAAAACTTTCGACAGTTTGACATAACAAAGTTCAATGCCGAACTAAAAGTTAAAACGGCGTTCAGACACACGTGACCCTCTTAACTAGGTATATCTAGGTTTTGCTTTGATAATTTCGCCAAATATAAGAGGTTTGGTCGACGCATTGATAGACGTCCCAAAAACTATTAGCAATAGCTATATACAAGTAACTAACCTATATATTATACTATAGTATAGCTGTTAAGGCTGTGTTTTCGACGGCTTATTAAATATTTCAATCTAATTACTATTATTATTATTAAAACACAAGCGCGAGCGAGACGTACACGAAAAATACGCTCGGCAAAGTCCATTATTCATTAATCATTACATTATCCCGCAAAGGATTAATCCGACGCCACAATCAGGATAATATCACGTCATAATTCGCTCAAGCATAGATACACTATATATTATAATAGTTATACGCGTCTGATAAATAATTTTCCATCATCGTTCAGCGATCGAATAGATTGATTTATAATTATAGCACTTACAGTTATTCACAAATATAATGCAATGTATCCGCTATTTGTTGATACATTTTATGTCAGCTGCATAGCGTTAATTCCAAAATATGTCAGAAAATACATTAATTTTGCGCAACGAAATTATTAAAATCCCACTAAAAATAATTATTATGAAATTAATTTTTCATAAAAATAACGGGTTATTTAAAAATCTTAATGATAAAGCAAAATTTGCTGTAAAGCGAATTTTAGAACAATATACTTAACTTCTTAGTTAAAAACAATTATAATTATGATTGGATTATGAATTTTTGGTAGTTTTCTAAGATGTAGAGCTCGTAAATTATAACAGCTGCCTTTAATGCAAATTTGTAGCAACTTATTAAAAGCGATAGTATATAACTTATAATAACAAGTTTAGTTTAAGAAAACTCTAATTATGACTAACACTCAGCTGGAGGGTCTAAATAATTAATATTACAATGTCATCAAGTCAAAATAAATAGAACTTTCGATTATACGAGGCGTTTCCTTTGCAATAATTATGGCTATGCGAATACTCAGTTAAAATACGCGTTAAGTTAAATGTTGGATTTATAAATAGTTAATAATTTTGTTTCACAAGTTCTTTAATAACATCCAAAACATTTTTATATTGTGTAAGAAAATAGCAAAAAGCCAAATATTAAAAGAAAAATAAAGATCACAATGAAATAAACAGTTGTATACGTTTTTAAACATATTATGTGTTCCAAGTAAAACGCAAATAAAGATTTTTCCAGGTATACACTTTTAAAATAATATAGTTTCTGAATTTCCCAGGAACTAGCAACCAAATAAAACAAAAATAGTGGATTTCTAGACACTTGGGATGACGCGAAACAATTCAAACAAAATTATACACAACATGTGATAAACTGTAAAATACAACTTTAGATTTAGTAATGACTTATGATAAAAAGTTTTACAAAACATTTCTATTGAAATCCCATATAAGGGGGGGGGGGTAGTATTATCGAAAATAAAGTGAATGCTTATAGTTGGAAAAAATATAATTATTTAATTAAGATTCTTAAGAATTATGACTGCTCATATATACAACATTATACTTATTTAGTTTATATTATGAACAAAAGACTGCATATAGGAATTCATCATATTATACAATACATTTTAAAAGGCTAAAAGAACTTAATATGATGTCCATATTATTTTTGGAAACTATAAATTACTTAATAAACCTACTGCAAATCAAAAATCCATAGTTTATTTATTTTAAGGGACATTACATAAAATAGTACATTACCTATTAAATTAATGTTTAACAGAAACTATAGGCTTGTTTGCTAAAGATAGAGGGAAGGGTCGGTAATGACAATGCATATGAGACGGGTAGGTAATTGAAGAGAAAATAAAGTAATTTGACAGAGATGTACGCTATCAGAAAGGCTGCGTACGAGTTGATTCCCGGGTACCTGTTTACCTGCACCGACACCGTTGAGTTGATTCCCGGGTCATTAGAGGGTACGTACGAGTTAATTCCCTATTGTTGTATATCAATTATCAATAGAATGCAAGAGTAAAGAGTTTACGACAGTATAAAGAGTTTGACCGTCACACACAACTCGCTCTTATATCCACCGAGACCACGCGCGAATTCACAAAAAAAAAAAATTTGAGAGAAGAGATGTCACGGTATACTAGTAATCTCATTACCAGATACCAATTTATAAAAACAATATGTTACAAATTTTGACCAAATTACTAAATTTTTTTATATTTTTTTACCTAGTTACTACTAAATGTTTTTAATAATAATATAATTCAATAAATAATTAATAAATAAAAATTGAATGATTTTCAAAATATGAAAAAACTAAAAAAACAACATTTTTGAGAAACTTGTCAGCCAACCTCCTCGTGGTGTTTCTTGGGTTATGCTAATAGACTGAATATTTTACTAAATATTAAATAAAATATATAATGAACCGGGAATCAACTCGTACGTACTTCTTATTGACCCGGGAATCAACTCGTACGTAACTCTTAATGACCCGGGAATCAACTAATACACGAGAAAGGTCTCGGGAATCAACTCACTTATTGCGATCAGAAAGTTCTGTTTTCTTACCTCAGTCTATTATGGACGAGTGTCTCGGCTAGTTCCCTGCCGAGTCTCGGGTATGCAGTCTCAACGAGTAATAACAACTTAGGGTCGGTCCTAGGACGGCCATCGCCTGATCCTTGGCGAGGCGGTCTGTGATCCGTTGGCGGTGTGGATTGGAAGTGAGGGCACATGCCATACGGTCGCATCCGAACCATTTTGCGTTCCCGTCGCATCAGTAAGCTTAAAAATAAAAATAAAACATATTCTAAGTATAAAAAAAGTTGGTTATGAAAATTCAAAAATATATTGAATACCCTATAATCATATTCATACACCTGAAACAAGCGTACTTTAACTTTATCTACTTTGTAATAATTACAATTATTGGAAAACAACTTAAAAAAAAAAATTTTCTTCCCGAATAATAGAAAATAATTTGCGTTACTATTAAAAATAGGTACATTTTATTTTACCAGCACATGCGTGTACCAAAGTGGTTGAAAATTTGAAAATTTCTCAAAATATTTATTTTGTCGTTGCCTTTAACATCCAGAAAACCAAATTTTTTTACTTCAAGCCAACCAGTTGATATATTTAGTGATAATTTTAGAGTGCACACTGTTCTTTTTATGTAACGCAAAAGTGTCACTTATAATAATACATTGTACCAACAAATTGTAAAAATAATTGAGGTATTCATATGATTAAAATAGATTAGCAAATAGTTAGTAACGTTTTAGCAATGAACTGTATTATAAATTATAAATTGAAGAATTTTAATTATTACTATGAAAAAAAGAAGGAAAACGCTGTTCAAATACAGGTCACTAATCTCTTTCTTGTTATTATAGTCCGACCACGACCAGATAAAGTAAAAAACATAATAAATTTAAATACCATTAAAATGATCAGTCCAAACACTTATTATTCTGATATAACAATATTGAACAATATATAGTATAACCTCATTGTGACCGACTATTTTATTAATCATAATAACTGAATCAATGATTTGAAGTATGAAAAATAAAGCTTTTAACTATGAATGGTGAATCCATAAAATGTTATATATAAAAATAACATAATATATTGTATCTTTATATTACGAAAGAACAAAATTTCAAAATAGCTAGGGATACAGCTATATATATAGAGATTTCTTCTTGGATTTCTTTGAGTTGTATTATTATTTATTACCTTACCTATAATACCATTGATTTTGTAAACTAGTAGGTATTTATAATCAATGTTAGTACCTAAATCTTATATTAATTAACTATTGTCTGTAACTAAGCTGATAAGTAGTAATTAAGAAGCTCACAAGTGAATTAAAAAAAATAAAAGTTAAGAAATAAATGATAATATTATTTATTAAAACATAAGTAATAAACGAATATATTAATATTACGTAATCGTTTAACAAAAACCTTATGAATCACAAATAGTTCAAAGTATTTTTTTCAGTTATATCAAATGTCTTAAGGAGTAAAAACTCTTTAAAAATATAGTAAGACAGCTACAAACGAATACGGTTTGTAAATTTGAAGTTCTTGGGGAAATAAATTGTGTATGTTTTAGTTTTACGCGTTCCACTTCATTATATTTTAGTTATATATATTCGAGCATTTATTGCCATGATAAAATATTAATTTGAATAATACAAAAATTACAAAATAATAATAATATATTACAATAGAACATATTCAGCCACATCAACTTTTATCTCAAAAGTAAGAAAAAATATTTTTTTAACATTAACATTTAATAGGTCCAATGCGAGCTATAATAGAACTAAAGTTATTTAATATTTTGAGAATGAAAAGATGAAACTATATACCTAGTAATTTTAAATGATCATTAACATCTAAAAGTTTAATAGACTAAAAATGAGTTTTTTTATGATAATAAAAAATTTCTTATTGTATTGTATGTCAAGTGTATAATGTTCATTATAAACTCAAGTTGAATTATGTTATGCTGCTTTTATTAGCCAGTCTAAATAAAAAACATACAAAGAAGTATTTAAAAATTAATATTTCCTGTTCCAAGGTTTAGAAAATTAGCCTATGAGACATGAGGATAATTAATTAATTTTATGAGTAAAAAACTTGTTTTTTTCAAGTGTCAATTCCAAAATTACCAAAATTAGTTTATTAAAAGAAACAATTTAATCGAATCTCAAATATTGTTCGGTTATAAAAAATAAAGTATTACTACGATATTTTAGCCTTATAGATTTTAATCAACTTTGCGCATTTACCATACCACATTTCATTATTTAGTTACGAGTAACAAACTCTCACTAGACATCGAAAATCTACTGTACCATCAATATATTATACTATAGTATCAGTAAACATGGCCTATAAAGGTAGGTATTCGTATAAGACAGTAAAGATACAGCGGTGTTATTAAACAACGTAAACAAATGTTTTTGTTTAAAACAGTTTTGGTATACAATGATGCGAAACACTTAAACACAGTAAACAACCAGAATAATTATTTTCTTTTTATTTATGTTGGAAATTGCCATCAGCAGTCTTCAATTCAAAATAATAGCAATATATTTGTATACTAAAATTATATAGTTATGCCAGGTACCTAGATAATATTAGAATATACTAAATTATTATTTGATGACAGTATATGTATGCATAAGTAATTTCTCGTGAATACAACTCAATAACAGGCAAGTGTATACCGAGATTATATTACAGATAAATTGGAACGCCAAAGTTTAACGTTCTCAATAGGATGAAGTTTGTTTATTGTGTTTCTTGAATAATAATTTATTTCGAATAAAGTTCCATTTCATCGGCAGCCGTTGGCCGAGTAGTTGGTAGAAATAACTTTTTTTCATGTACCATAATAATATATATAAATTGATAGCAACGGCGTTTTCAGAATATCAAATCAATGATATGATTGCAGAGTATTCATAATATATTCTAATATAATATTAGCGTGATATTTTAAGTTTTCGTAAGCAATAATACAGTTTTAGATTAGACGTTTAAGATTTGATATTATATTGATCATTAAATATTATCAGTGATATTATATTCATATTATAATATAATAGTATTATTATCGTCATTTATTAGCTGTAGCCTGTAATAATAATATATTAGTGTCATATCGTAGAAATTATCTTAAGTCTTGACTAGAAATATCTAACTGTGATCTCAAGTGATGTTGTTTGCTGAATATAATTATAATTAACAATCGTTGTTTATTACTCATTAATTGCATTGAGTATTTCATATTATTAGTATAACGCGTATAGTTACATTGTATAGAAAATATTCAAAATATTCAAAATCGTAATTATTTTTTAATTTGCAGATTGCAGACTTTGAATAAAAAAAAACTATAGATAACTCTTCTATTATATGTTTATATATTCGAGATATATATATACTGGATGTAAGATCCATACGAAGGCACATACTCAATGATATAGATATGATTTATGGAAGAACAGGAATATATTTTAAGCCACATAATGCAACATTAACCAGTTCAAGAAGTTCTCCAGATTAGGTACATGGTAAAGACTGTACATTCAAAACAGCACGTTGGTAAATTATGTAAAAAGTCTGATTCGATGTCTACATGAAAATCAGTCTAATAAAACCAATGATATAATTAATAAACATCAATTAAAAAACTAATAAGTAAAATATAGTTAATAACCTTGATGACAATAATGTGTATCAATCAAATTGTAAAAAATTGATATGTGTAAATATAAATAATTCAGGAAACTTTGGTATTAATATTGGTGATAAAAATAAATCAATACTATATTGTATATTATCTAGAAAATTAAGTGAACTTTTCAACAATAAAGGAATTTTACATATTATCACTATATATTATATTAGTATTGTACCACAGGAACTCCGTAGGTATACCAGATAAAATAGATTAGCCTCGAGATTAGCTTAGTAGGTAAACGCATCAACTTTTAATATTATTATTATGATTGTATTATAATTTAATTATGCTGAAATAAATACAAAAACAAATTCGCATAATTAATTTAAAAGCATGAAATAATTTTCAACAAATAAATTCGAATTCCTACAACACACACAACACACGACAGTGTGTACATATTATATGCGCGTTACTATTATACGGAAAGTTAAAGCAACAGCTTGTTGAAAAATACGACAGATTCTTTTTGAAATTATCTAATTTACAGTTCAATAAACTGCATGATTATTACCACGACAATTGTCATAAATTTTGTTATATTGAAAGCGTCTCAACATTTAAACTTGTAACATAGTTTTCTTATACATAGCTATATAGTGTTTTATAAAGTTACACTGTGCTGTTTCTGCAATATTATAAGTTATAATACATTATATATAAAGTGTGTACCAAAATCGATCGTCGTGGTGATGAATCGAAATAGTTATAAATATATTTTCAGAGAATTAAGTTAGCTGATACAATACGCGTTTCGTATATAATAATCCGTTTCTATTTTTCGGTCAATGTAAATTAAACATATAATATTGAGTTTAACAGCATAATTTATTATATTTATTTACACAAAAACGTCTCTCGAAAACACATTATATATTCCATATCTGTTTTTACAGTACATAAACAAGAATTTTTCTAAATCTCATAACGCATTATCCCGTTTAGGTCCTTGTGACCACTTTTTTTTCAACACTCTTCGGTTTTGATTTATGAAAGGTATTGCATATGACGTCAAAAACCTTATGCAAAGCTTTTGGGTTCATATAACAACACAACGACGCCACTGCGAAATATAACTTCACCGATCGGTGGTACATAAAAAAATTCGGTCCTTTGAAAATGTGGAGGACCTTTATGATTTTAATGGGTCCCACAGACATCCGGCGAAAGTACAAAATAACTGGTAAACGAGTGACCACAGCCATAAAAAGAGAGGAAACTGAAGTTTAATTTTTTTTAATGTATTTTCATTGTTGAATACCAACTAAATAGGATTATGGTTTTATAAGACTTAAATGTGATATATATTGCATACTCGACAGTAGTCGACACGTTTAAATAAAATGCTGGAGGATAAATTATATATTTATACTTCAAGTAGGTAAAAAATAAAGATAAGGTCATAAGTAAGGAAGTATATATTTTAAAGTTAAAAGTATAATGTAATACGCATATCTATGTATTACTTGTGTAGGTTTTAATCGAGGCATTAATACTAAATACGGGGTGGTTTAAACATT